CAGGCCCGGCAGCTTTGAGGAGAGGCCCCAAGGGCCAGTGCAGCCTCAGGCCTGGGCACTGCTGCTGAGCTGGGGGTCCGTGTCCCTACCTCAGCCTAGGACCCCCAGAGCCAAGGCAGCTGGCAGCTGGGCCCTCCAGACAGGGGAGGGGTGAGGAGTGGGGAAGAGCCCGGGGCCCTGCCACCTGCCCCCCCCAGGCCTCCTGGCACCCCTACTCCAGCACAGGCAGTGGCATCCTGACTCCCTGCACTGCCCTCTGGCTGCCCTTCCCCACATATTCTCATCTGTGGTCCAGGCCGGCATCTGTCCTGGCCACCCCCCCAGATGTGGTGCCTGCTGGCCAGCCCCTGGGTGACCCCCACGGGGGCCTGCAGTGCTGTGTATGTTTACAGAAGCTGCTGGGCGGGGCTCAGGGTGTGTCCTGAGCTTGCAAGCCCCCCCTCCTCAATCATGTTCAGTAGCCCTCTGGGCAGGGCAGGGGCCTGGAGGAGGGGGGTCAGGACCGCCCCTTCTCTCCTCAGCGTCCCTCACGCTGACCCCTCTGTCGATGGGTCCTGGGCACCCAGGCCCGCCCGCCTGTTCCTTACCTCCCAGCTCGTCTCCACCCCGGGTGTCCTGGTCATTCGAAGGATGGAGGGCACAGCTGGGTCCACCCGGGCTGCTGAGCTAGTGCCCTGGGGGGAAGGGGCACCCCCAACCCCTCTTCCTTTGAGGGTCCCATGCAGCCCTTCCACATCACCGCCCCCCAAGCCTCAGCAGCCCAGGCCCTCGGATCTGAAACCAAACACTCCCACTCCCCTCGCCCCTCCTCGCTGGCCTGGGCTCTCGCCTGGGCTTCCTTCCTTCCAGTCGCCCGTGTCCTGTTGGCAGAAAGTGGGACCAAGAGCGGGGCCTGGTGGCACCGGCTCGCTGCTGGGTCAGGGGCTCTGGGGTGGCCTGGCGTGGCCTGGGGCCCCCCCCTTGAGCACTTCCTCCCCTCGGGTGGAGGGCGCAGGGGAGGTGGAGACCGGGCCTTCTCCCAGAGGCTGAGTGGGGGCTGTGCATGCTCGCGTGGGGCACGTGGGTGCATGTGCATGGGTGCGTACCGTTCCTGAGGGAGGGGCCGCGGGGGTGCCCACCCGCCGGCCTGCCGCCCCTCCCCCACCTGCCAAGAAGGCAGCCAGTGACCGTGATGTGGCCGGGACACAGGGTGAGCGCAGTTTTGGACGTCACCTGTTCTGGTCTCACCTGCTGCTCAGACCCCTGATTTGGAAAACATGTGCCAAGGCGAGAGCATCGCTGTGCCTTCGTCTCCCCGGAGGCATAACCCTCCCGCGCACCCCGGCCCCGCCGTGGCCTCCCGTCCGCTTGGCTCCCCATCCCATGATCACTGGTACCTTGGGCCTGTGCCATGACCCTGACCCCACTCACAGCTGGGACTGGCCCCGACCCTGCCCTGGAACCCCTGCCCACCCTGACCGAGGGGCACAGAGACCTGGAGGGAGCTGGGCCCCCCGCACTCTGTGACTCCCACTCCTCGCAGGCTCCCAGCCCCAGCCCCTGCCCCTGCCCCTGCCCTGCTGGAGGCCCGCTGCTGGCATAGCCTGGGCCCAGCACAGAAGCAAGACGAATCAGTGGCCCTCCGAGTGCAAAAGCGGACCAATCAGAAATCAGAGTAACATTCCCACGAGCACCCTGGCCAATGGCAGGGAGCCATTCGGTCTGGCCTTTCCGCTCCTCCTCTGCCGAGGTGGGCCCGAGACCTCTAAGGGGCGTGGCGCCCACCCATGCCCAGGACTGAGCCATCAGGGACAGACTCCCGCCCCAAGGCTGCAGCCACACAGGGTTACAGGCTTGGGGCCGGGGCAGACTTGGACTCAGCCCTG